ACTTACAAACCTTCACTATTTGGTTTGTTGTATCTGCTTTGTGGTAGTAGAGGAATCCATTGTAGACCACATGACCCGATCCTTGCCAGTGGAAAGGCAGCTGCACCACCTTTGCTGGAGATGAAGTCCTCTCTGTGAAGCTTTGCAGGGAAACGTACTCCAGCATGGTGTTGTTACGAATTCCACTGAGCAGATAAATCTGAAAGATTTCACATTGGGACAAGCTGAGATTTTGCAGCTCAGCTTTATATTCTATTCTTTACGATAAACTGTATAAAAAAGGCTGTTTTAAAAAGCTTTTAGCATTTTGGTTGGCATCATCTTAAGTGTTTTGAGCCGGAAAAACAATTTTTGCACATAGTGGTGGTTAGTAATGTACATCTGTAGGGTGCATGTGTGAACAGCCGCAGACACTGTTTTATTCTAACTAACATTTAAATAAAATCATAGAATTTTACTCACTTATAAAGCTTGAAAAGACTTCTTGGCTGTAAACATGTTCATTTAAAGCACTAAATTTTGCCACTTTAACACAGCAGTCCATGGGAATTGTCTCACTTTTGGAACAAGCCTCAAGTGGCCAATCAATAAATTGCAGTCTGGCCTCAACTTTTAAGTTCAGCTCCAGAATATTGGGCAGGTGGTTTTATTCTGTTGGCCAATCTTATATAGCTACAATACACCCAGCCATTTACATCTGGGTGGAATTATTAATTATTAGGAGCTCCATAGTTTACACATTTGCCTAACAAGCCAAATATTCCTGGTTCAGTCCCAGGAGGAATTCCTAAAGCACTGGCTAAATGTAGCTTTGTAATTATTAAAGTTGTGAACTATTATTTAGTCACTTGCTCACTCATTGCAAGCAAAGAAAACACATATTTAACAGAAATACTGTTCTGACTGTTGTCAAATTTGTACATGTTTGTTTTGTTTGGTTAGTGCACTGGCCCTTTAAGAGAAAGGCATGGACCATGAGTTTCTCTTAAAGGGCCAGTGTGCAGACAGGGGAAGTGTAAGAAAGAATCAGACAATCGACTGAATGTGATCTATGCTGTGATTTATGCTGTGAAAGGCTGATAAAAAGGCATTCCCTGTGAGTATGCATTATTGTTTGGCACTTTATGTTGATTAAGAGCAGTTAATTAGATGCTGTATTACGTGTGCTAATTTATGGTTCGTAGACAGTTGTTTGGTGTTAGCATTAGCATATTGGCACGCAGCTCCTCAAGTAATTATTTTAATTTGTTACTCATCTACACTGTATTTTGTTGTTACAGTTTCACACCTGCCATATAAAGAAAGGTCTAAACCCACTCTGGCGTTAGTGACTTTTGTGTGGAGGTGTTTAACTCCTGGATAGTAGAAAGTGGTTCTACGAGGCCAGTACAAATACCAATAAATTTGCATCTTTGGGAGCTGTTTTTCTGGCTCCCTGAAAAACAGAGGTCAATTTTCTTACCCTCTGCTGAACCATATTTTTTGTCACTAACTCCTATCAGGAAATATCTGGCTCTTCAGATACAAAGTTACAAATGTTACAACAGCTAGTGTCAAACTTGAAAGGAAAGTGAGAGCCAAGGGAGTAAAATTATACATTATAAAACCAAATGATCTGAAGCTGAGCTCAAAGATGTTAAAATGTTTTGCAGAATACAGGAAAGCTGCTCAGTTGGTAATAATTGTGGTTTTATCACCTTAAGCCAGCCATTTCCATCCCAGGTGGTCATCTGATAACAGCTGATGCAATCACATAGGACAACATAGTCCAAAAAGCACGATTCATTTTTGATTATTCAGAGAACAGATCAGTGAGTGTCCATTAACAGAGCGACAGTGAGACAAAGATAGAAGAGTGCAGCTCAGAAGGAAAGACAGCTTTACCTCTGCTGCAAACAACCGGTTATTTCATCATCTATAAAAAAGAAGAGACCTTGGCTGATCCTTCCGAGGGGTCCTTAAACCAGCAACCATAGGTGTCTCCTGCCTTCTTCACAATCTTGAGAGACTTGATTTGACTCAGACCCGTGCTGCAGTCTGGAAAAAGCACAGAAGCAGGAATGAACATTTTGTTGTTTCTTT